GATAAATAGATAAATAGATAAATAGATAAATAAATAGATAGATAGATAGATAGATAGATAGATAGATTTATTGTATAGAAAGAATTACAATAATTCTTATTACAAGGGTTGGGTAATCTGTAATGAATGAATACATGAGAACTAATAGCTAAAACAAAAACGAAAATCCTTCCTGCGTGACCTTGATTAAATCTACCAATGAAGACATTGATATGCAAATTACTCATTCACAACAAAATATCTGAGCTTTAACAAATTGATCAGAACTTGTACTAGAAGTTTCAAGTCAGCTAGGCCAGCTAGCTCAATTTAGAAGATATATTAAATCATCTAGAGATTCAATGTCTTGAAATAATCGACAATTCCTGATACCAGCATAAACTGGACATTCAAAGAGAATGTGTTGTAAAGATTCCGGTCTGTGGAGATTGCAAACAGTACATTCTTCTTCAGTATTTATTTTATACACTCTTCGATTGAAGGTAATTCCAATTCTAGTCGTAATATATATGGGGACGCGCGCTTTGAGGTAATTTTGAACATTTACCTGTAGAGAGAGACTTTTACAAATGAGAGGATAGGAAGATTGGCTCAAACTCTCCAAATCAACTCTCAAAAGTTTATTGATGAATATATGTAGAAGAGGAGTTATAGCTTTCTTGGAACTATTATGCAGACACTGTTGCCAACGATCGACCATTCCGGCAAAAGAGAAATATTGTTTGACCTGCAACGCCCAGTTGTATTTAGGATCAACGTTATCGAGCCTGAGCAGTCTTAAAAAACATACCTTTGGTGGTCGATGGTCGTCCATTGAGTTAAGAAGTGCAAAATGTGAGAGAGCTGCAGTGAAAATCAGATAAGAAAGTTTTGTTGAAGAAGTTTCCAGACGAACAATATAGTCTGGAGTATTTTTAGGTAGTGACAGTCAACGTTTGAAAAAATTAACTTGAATCCGTTCAATAACGTCAACATAACGTAGTCCCCAAATTCCAATGGGGTATAATAATAATAATAACAATAATACTTTATTTTCCAATAAGACAATATTACAAATTGTATAGGAAATTGTCAGAACATAGAACAGAAGAAAAAATACAGAAAATGTAGAAAAGACGATTAAAAGATCAAGACCTATGTCTAGTCTAAAAATTCTGTCAGCGAATAATAACATTTTTGCATCAAAAAACTGTTTAGCGTCTTTTTGAAAAGAGCAAGATGATCTGCATTCCTTATGTGGTCAGGAAGTTTATTGAAAATTCTGAAATCTATGAAATGAAATCTATAAAGACTGGTTTACAAGATTCTGTGGCCGAGACCTTCGCAATACATCGCAATATGCGTTTTTGGGCAATGAATACATCTTGCGCCATGCTTGAACTACCCCAAAAACCTATACCTAAGTCTGGACTCTACCTGGGAGTAATAAATATTCAGCAGCTGAGTTCTATTCAAAACCGAGCGCAAATTCATAAAAAGGAACTTCAGGGAATTAAGCTTGGAAATTAAGTGTTGACAGTGGACTTTCCAGTTCAGAAACTTGTCTAGGAAAATACCCAGAAACTTGACACTTTCGTTAGTCTCCAGATATTTTACATTGTCAACCATGAAACTAAATTTTTCTATTTTATTCTGTCTACTATGTATGCGGATGATCTCTGTTTTATCTGAATTGAAAAATAAATCATGATTATTAAAAAAAATTGATATCTGACTAACTGCACTGATACATTTAATTTTCAAAATTCTGGTATCTGAGGCAGAAATAATCAAAGACAAGTCATCAGCATAGGCCGTATAATAACACCCAGCTATTACAGAATCAATATTATTGACACACAAAATAAACAGAATGGGCCCCAAAATGGATCCCTGAGGTACACCCATCTCTATATTTAAAGGCTCTGAATCAATTCTCCGAATTTCATTATTAATGGTTGCCTGAAGGGACACATACTGGCTCCGATTTCTGAGAAATGATCCAGCTGAGCGAGACACCTCTTAGTCCATACATTTCCAGTTTTGCTAAGAGCTTCTGGTGATTGACACAGTCGAACGCACGGCTTAGATCACAAAAGATTGCTGCCGGACATTCACCTGTTTCAACATATTTTATGATTTCATTGTATTATGAAAACATGGCAGTATTTGTAGATTTTTTTTCGCGAAATCCATGCTGCATTTGTGTAAAAATTTTATGTTGATTCAAAAAGGAATTGAGGCGATCCAGGTATGCAAGGGATGACACGATTATGGATTCATACAATTTAATTCTAGTGTGCCACAATTTGCTTTAGCTACGGTTTCCTTAGACATTTCGAGAAAACAACATCCAATGGATCGTTGTAGAGATAAAATTTGTTATTGTAATTGAAATAGTACCCACCCCTACAGAACACCATAATTTTTGTTTTTTGAGTGTTGACTGTCAACTTATTCTCTGCTGAATACTCTTCCAGAGTTTTCAATTTGCGGGCGAGATCAATTTGTGAATCACTAAATATGATTAAGTCATCGGCATACAGCAGTAATAGAGCGCTGTGTAAGTTGTCAATGTTTACGCCAGAGTGGCCTTTATTGAGAAGCGAGGGAAAGAGAAAACAGGTGGGGACTGAGTGGTTGCCCTTGAAGGACTCCTTGCGAAATGCTAAATTCTTTGCTGTATTGATTCATTATTTTCACGCAAGTTGATGCATCATCGTATAATTTTTTTTATAATTCTGATGAATTTAGAGCTTTTCCCCCGATCAAATAATTTAAGCCACAGCATCTTCACACCAAGCAGACAATCTATTTAGTAAAATTGATGTAAATACTTTGGCGAGTGTATTCAACAGGGCAATACTCTCATGATTCATGCCATGCTCAAGGAATATTTTCAACATCTAGAATATTATTAAATAAAGAGCATAAATAATTGTTTGGCAAATTTTCCAAAAATTCATATGTTATACCATCCTTACCGGGAGATTTCCCATTTTTGCAACTAGCTAGATATTTGAAGTTCTTGTTGTTTGTTTATTGTGGAGCGTTGGATTTTTTCATATTGAGAAGTGGATTGGCCTTTACTATGCTGTCCCCTCTTACATTTTTGTTCAATATGTTTCCACTTCTTTGTATAATATTCCAGTTGCGATATTCAATTTCACAGTCTCTTTTAGTCTTGGTTTCAATGAATAGACCACAGTTTATTTCGGGATGTAGCTATTGATATTGGCATAGATTAGTTTAATGATCTTGAATGTTAACAGGAATAATATCTCCTTGGGTAGATTCAGTTGGTGACGTTGAATTCGGAATGACAAGGTCGAATATGAATATAAACACCCTGTTCTGTCCAGGGAAAACTACACAAGTATCTACATTGTATTCTTTGATGAATCTCACTTATGATTTTTGAATAAGTTCAGCTCCATTTAGGTTTTTTGGCTTGTTCAGTTTCCTCACATATGTGTTGATTATATGATCATGCAATGTGGTTGGAGAATTGATTTTGGTGTTGGATTTGACTGATTGGTTGATTTCACGAGAAATCTTATTCAGTGGTTTAATTACTGCATTGGAAATTCCCTCTAATGGTTTGGTGGGACGTATTGGCCACTTGAACGACCATGCCTGATGATCTTCTGCATTGCAAGCTAGGCATTTGGGTGGTAAATTGGTGTTCAATTATCTGTTGTGTGGGAAAATTGTAAGCACTTCTTGCTTGGGATTGGAGTAGGTGGGGGGGGATTACTTGTGTGCACTGCGTAATGTCTGCTCTTGAAGAATACTCCTTCATTTAACAGTTTTTCTTATGAACTAAGTGAAGCAGTGATTACTCTTGTGTAGGATGAAGGTTTATTCCCTGCTCTAGGGTAATTCTTCGGCAATAGCGGTGTTCTATACCATTTGCTGTCAAGTGGTCGCTAATTGTATTATCGTTGAGGAATTGTTCAACACCCGAAATAACAGCAGCATATGAAGGTTGATTATTTGCTTGAGGTTGTGGGTTCTTTTTTGCATGTTTAGTTTCAATGAAATCTGTGATGAGATTGTTTCTCTTTAAGCTATCAAGATGGTTTGTTAATATTCCTTTAGCGGAATAGTTCAGGTTTTTGTTGGTGAGGTTTTTTGTGGTAATTCCTTGACTATCATGTACTTGTAGAGAAGTTTTTGTTGGGTGTTTGGCGGACTTTACGGGCCTTGCTGGGTGCTGGGATGTTTCTCCGATTATAATTCTATTGACCTCATCTCTAGATAATTGCCTTTTTTTCTGTCTTCCCATTCCATTCCACTCGTACTATCAATGTCGGACATTTTGCACTTTTTTCTACTTATTCATTGATTAAATTTATAACACTTCTGCTCCGTGTGGAGGTCTGTTAAAAACTGTCTAGCTAATTGAAATATTAGTAATTAGACTCAAAATGCCCAACTGAAAAAGAATCGACGTGTCTGTTCTTTTTTTTCAACTGGCCACATCGAGCTATTAACGAATTTGTTCCAACCTTTGCAAGCTCTGTATTTTTTTCACTACTAGCAAACATTTCCTTATCAATAAAAGGTGTAAAATCTCAAGACCGAGGAGTTCTAGGGGAATTTCGTGAATTAATTAACAGGTGATACAATACAGACTGTTTATATGTATTTGTTAAGCCTCATCAATTACACTAGAATAGGTGACAATCCATTCTGAATTCATCTGAATTGATTGGGTTTGATATTTTTTGAGGTTCTTTCAATCATATTTCCCTTATTCCTAAGGTATCTGAGTTTTCTCATCTTAACCTCATTTCTAGGAGAAATTCAAGGTGAAGAATTAATTAGTTTAGTGACATTTTCCTTTCTGAATTTTACTGCACTCCCAATTTGTCAAACTCATTTAGGAAGATGGTTGGGTGGTCAGATACTGCTATAATATATGTCCTGATTTTGTGTAGATACCTGATATCTGATTCACTTGAACTTGAACACCACTATTGTTGACCAAGTTAATGAATTATACATATTCATTCAAGGTTGTAAGAGTGGGAGGACAATCGAAAAATGAGAATTTGAACAGTTTCAACATCAGACACCAAAGAAGAAAGTATCCGAACGATGCCGTGTATCAGAGAAGAGGCGAGGTTAGAGATTTCCTGCAAAAGATTTCTACGATAAACTCGCATCTGAACATGATAGCATCGAACAGCAGTGTCATCAGATTCGATGTGTTTGCAGAAGTGGTGCCAGGTTTTGCAGACACCTGGTTTGGTTCAGCAAACAGTGACCAAATTTACATGTGGCTCTTCGGAGGATTCGATGTTCACAGATCCAGACGAAGAGAAAGAACCAATGTAGGAAATCAGGTAAGAATTCAATACATTGCCGGAATTTAAGATTTTTAATGTTATCACAGAAATAACCATCATTTACTGTTGAAATTTTTTAATATTTCCAGGTGAACAGAGATGCTGTTGCTAATAATGAGGAACCAAAAGATGGAGAACAAAAAAGGAAAAAATCAAAACAGGAGGAACCAACGGTAGAAGAACCTATGAATGTCGATAACGATGTTATCATTGATGACATTTTTGACGATATAGTAGTGCACGCTCTCAATGAATTGGTGAGCGTGAAAACTTTACAAATTAATCTCGACAACCTCTACATCAGGATCACGGAATTGAACAAGAGACAAAAATTGACCGATCTGGACAAATGGTCGAAAATGCTGGAGGAAGATAAGTTGAACATTGAGATTTACAGGACCGAAAATGAATTGCAGTATCTCAAGGTAATATATCATGGAGAATACACACAAATTTGTTTTCATCCAATAACGTCTATACCACATTGATCAAAAAGCAGTTAGTTTTCCTTCTATATGCAGTTGTTATAAAATATTGGTTCGTCAATACAATGGTCAAATAATTTTGTTCTATGTTCTATAATCTTGATATTATGTGTAGTTTATGCATTGGGGTGAAAATACGAAAACAGTTTGATTTCCTAATAATAATGCTTTTTAATGTACAGTCCAGACTGAATGATAGAAGAATAAACAAAAACGGGTTTCAACCGCAGTTTGTCGATTTGAAGAATCCTCACCGCATGACCCCTAACGACAGATGGCAGTTGTACTATTACTGGCTGTCACTGTATGTTGAACGTCTGAAAGTCAAGAAAGAAGAAAGCACCAGATCATTCAAAAAGGTGTATGCGTTGTATTCTGAGATGATGAGCATGGAAGATGCCCAAGTCATGAAAGGTAGAGTGACTTAACTCATTTTGGAGGCTGATGAAATTTCTTCTTTCACTATATTATAAATTATGATTCGCATCTTGCGTTTTCCGATTTAGTCATTGGCCTTTTCTACATATTTAGTGAACATTATAAAATATAACTCTTTTATTTTCATAATTCATACTACTATTATGTACTAATGCCTTTTGTGGTTTAGTCATTTTCATTGTCGTTTTATTGCCCGTTTAAGCGAGTGTTAGAATCTAACTAATAATTGTTATTCTCCTGATAAGGATTCAAGGTATCTAAATTTTTTTATTAAACCAGTTATTCCGAAACAATATCAGTTATGTAAATTGATCAAGAAGGAAAATGTATGTTTTCTTTAGAGTCTTTGGTAATTGGAATGACAACCACCGGTGCTGCTCGTCTCCAATCGTCTCTGCAGGTTCTCAAGAGTCCCATAGTAATTGTAGAAGAAGCTGCAGAAGTTCTGGAAGCCCACATTATCAGCGCTCTAACCGTGCACTGTAAACATCTCATCCTCATCGGTAAGTAAACCACCAATCACAAAAAAAAACTTGAAATTGAACCATAGGACAATCTGGAACGATATTTAAAAGAAGTAGACTCCTGAATTGAGAGATCAAGAGTGAATAAAATTGCTCCATTTGTCAGCGAGAACGAGGGTACTGTTTCGGTGCACCATGTCCCATCAGTCGCATTATGCTCCAAATTCGTTATATTGAATGATTCATGTTTGGAAAATAGTCCAGCCAGTTTTTCATATTCAAGGACTGGTTTTCCTGGGACTTGCACTTTTTTGGAATTGAATATTTTTTCAATCACCTCACGATGAAGCAACTATGACTGTTCCATAAAAGTTGAAGCATATAAATTGAAAATCAGATGAGTTATGTGGCAGTGACTTTCAAATGTGATATATGAATGAATAACAGGGGATCATCAGCAGCTGAAACCGTCAGCCGCAGACTTCAAGATCGAGACGAAATACCGCTTGGGCATCAGCCTGTTTGAAAGGATGGTCATCAACGACATCCAATGCCACACTTTGGACGTCCAGCACAGAATGAGGCCGGAGATATCAAGCCTGGTCAGACCGACCTTCTATCCTGTGCTGAAAGACCACGAATCTACGATGGATAGACCGTGTATTGCTGGCGTAGATAAATGTCTTTATTTCATTGACCATCAGGAGCAAGAGCAACTTTGCAAGGACAACAGCAAGAAGAATATCCATGAGGCGCAGTTTTTGATACAGTTTGCCAGACATTTAATCCTCAACGGGTAAATTGAATAATAATATTATTAATTAACTTTTTGAAACTTTTTGCCCGAAACTGATTGCAGGAGTTATTCCAAGGCAAGGATTCTTTTCACCTGATCAATTCAACTTTATATCAGAAATACGAACATATACATACCTCAATTTTTATGCTGATTTTTTCAAAAAGCATTTTATTTATTTATTTATTGAACAAATAACTTCCAGACAGAATAGGCTTTGGTATAAGGAAGTACATAATTATATACCTATAGGTAACCATATCATTATTCAAAATATATCAACAACTATAAATTGGCAAACAAAGAATAATTTTTGTAAAAAAAATTGCATGATTAATTTTATCCAGTTCGCTCAGAAATAATTAGTTTTTTACTTCATTTTTGAATGTACCTATATTTCTGCAATTTTTTATATTGCCAGGTAGTTAATTGAATTCAGTTAAGGCTGAATGAGTGAATCTTTTTTGTCCTATTATGGAGCTAGCGGCGTCAAGATGAAACAAGTTATATTGTCTAGTTTCATACAATTGATTACAGTTTCCCATAATTTACTCCAAAACCTTACGAATGGTCGTCGTGGAGTATTTCCTACTCATTATTTTTTTTTTTTTTTTTTTTTTTTTTTTTTTTTTTTTTTTATCGCTTGGAGCGCACGAAAGGGAATCCCTATAATGTTCAAAGAACATCGTGCGTTCCTAGGGAGGATAGGGACAGGAGGTAGGTATTGGAATTTTTTTTGAACTTTTGGAGATTATATGTTGTTGGGAATACTTCCACAGGCAATGAATTCCAGAGCCTAGCCGTTCTATGGATGAAGGAGTCTTGATAAAGTGCTGTTCGACATCTTTCGAGGTTGACAACGAAAGGATGTGCTGACTGGGCTTGTCTAGTTCGTCTGATTGGTATTGCTAGTGAAGGGATGATAGCAGAGATTTCCGAAGAACATTTCCCGTGGAAGTATCGATAGAAAAGTGAAAGGTCGCCGACCTTTCTACGGTGTTCCAATGAGGTCAAAGAGTGAGTGAGTGTGGCGCCACCCACCAGGCGAATGGCTCTTCTCTGGATGGAATCTAAGAGCATCAGCGTATGTTTTGGTGCTGAACCCCATATGTGGGAACAGTATTCAAGAACAGGCCGTATCTGCGCTTTGTAGATCATGAGAAGCTGTTGAGGTGTAAAGTAGCTTTTCGCACGGAACAAGAATCCGAGTTTTTGTGAAGCAGCTTTTGCGATGGATCTGACATGATTATCCCATGAGAGAGTGTTGCTGATGGAAATACCGAGCATAGATATGGTGGGCTTGGTGGGGATGGTGGCGCCAGACATTACAATATCAGGCATACTGAGTTCCGCCTTTCTAGAGAAAATGCAGGCTTGAGTTTTGGTGGCGTTGAATTCAACTAGGTTGTTTGTTCCCCAGGCTGTGATTTCAGCAAGATCTTCATTGACAGCATTGACCTGCCTGCGCCGTGAGTTCTTAGTTTCCTGGGAAGAAATGGGAATTCTGGAAGAGAACGCAGTGTGGAGGGTACTATCATCTGCAAAGCTGTGAATGGGGCAAGTTGTTACTCCCAACAGATCATAGTTACTCCCAACAGATCATTGTTACTCCCAACACTCATGTATAGGTATTTTGTATTTATGTACATTATCTTTTAATTTTTGAAATTGTCTCGTCTCTATAAATGAAACATGTAAAATTATTGAATAATAGTTTACTGAATTGTCAGAAAAATGTCTTCGAGATGATTCTGTCGGCCATTTATTGGAAGCAATATAGTCCATGTTTATCAAATAATGACACTATGATGATGTATATTACCCCTGATGGAGGTATATTGATTTTCAGTTATAAACCACAAAATATCACGATTTTGGCTGCCTACCTTGGGCAAATGTTTGAGATGCAAAGAGAAAAGGCTAAGTACAGGATGCAACTCCAAGACGTCAGAATTGCCGTTTTGGACAATTACCAAGGAGAGGAGAGTAACATAATCTTATTATCCTTGGTCAGAAACAACCAAGAAAATAAAATTGGATTTTTGAAGACAGAAAATAGAGTGTGCGTTGCCCTGTCCAGGGCCAGAAATGGCTTCTACATGATGGGAAACATGACCATGCTCTGTAACAACAGTGAGGTTAGTACCCTTGAAATTCATGTGGTTTCAACTCTATATTTTTTCAGAGGATTGTGGTGAGCTCCAAGGAGGTGTACTTGGGCTGCTTCTGTTCTCAATTTACATGAACCATCTTACTTCCTCACTATAGTTATTTCATCTTTTGTATAGATTTGGCCGAAAATCAACGAGACATTGAAGAGTCAAAATGCCATCGGTACCCATTTGACTCTGCGTTGTCAGGTGCATTTCGACAAAGTGACGATGGTAAAGGCCGCAGAGGATTTCTCGAAGTTGCCCGAGGGCGGATGCGATCGGATGTGCGAGGCGATGTTGAATTGCGGCCATATATGCAAGCGGTTGTGCCACTTCGAAGATAAAGAACATCAAAGATTCAAATGTAACAAGAGATGTGAACGGTAAATATCTAATCAGTTCTCTTTATTGAATGAATTTATCTCGGAACAGAGATTAATTACGTATTCAATGATCGAAATTCCACCTCAAAACATATCAATTCATATATTCTATTCATAGTATTCCATCAAACCTATTCCATCGATCAATTTTTAAAATATGCATGAAACGGCAGTTTCAGATACAAGAGCTGTGTTGATCTTTGCAAGTCGTAAATTCGCATTTTTCACATTCAGTTTTCTTTTTAATTTCCTAAACTTTTCCTGAATTTACTCGGCCGTTACTTGATGGAAATCCATATTAAATGTGAAAAACTTCACAAACGATAAGATTTCACAACATTCTTGATCACACAACATGTTTTGCTAACATAGTTTCTTCTTCAGATAAAATACTGGTACAATAAACTTGAAATACTGGTAGTAAGTTTATTATACCAATATTTCACCTGAAGAAGCAACTGTGTTAGCGAAACATGTTGTGTGAACTTTTTTACATTGCCTATAAAAGTTTATTCAAGTTGAATTAATTCAATTTAATTATTCACTATTCATTATTTCGTGGCATCACAAAGCTAGACTGATGTATATAGCAAATATCACTACATTTACCAGTAAACTAATGAAATCTATTGAATGAATGGACCATTTTTCGGCAGGCGAGATGAAACTGAAAAGTATCAGCAAATTCACGAGTGTGAAGAATGTTACTGGATGAATAGTAACACTTTAACAATATTGAAAGTTTAATCACAAACAGAACCACCACCGTATGCTAACAATATGAATAAAACACTATAACTCCTGTCACCGTCGTGATCAGGCAGAGACTGACTAATATTTCCCATATTGCATTGTCCTTCCTCGCATTTCGGGATGAGTAGGCCGTATACAACTCTTCGTAGTTGTACTATCATATTATATACCAGGCGTCTTTTACACGAGTTATAAACTGCAATGGAGTTGGGAATGAGCCAATAATGTGCCTTATAATATTTTTTTAGGATGAAAAACTGCTCAATGTCCTTTTCAAACATATACCTATGCTGTCTCTCATGTTATAGTCTTGAATTTGCGATCATGGTTCCTTACGTCAAAATCATCATGTACAGGGTATCCCAATTTGGGCACTTTTGCGGGGTATCTCCCTTATCAGTAAAGATAGAGCATTGCGGTTTTCGCGACAGTGTGCTACTTTTTTATGAAATTAATAATGGCGCAAGCAGAATTGTGATAGCTCTTCCGGATGTCGAGATACAGGGTGGAATTGAAAAATATCACTTTTCAGGCACCCTCCGTGTCTCAGTTATCTTTGAACTTATCGAAGAAGTTAAAACTTGTTTTTATAGAGTTTTTCTCGTAGAATCCAGTGGCGTAGTTATTTTTTTGCTAGCACCTTTTGTTTTTTAGTTATGGAGCAAACATATGTTTTTTTAAATGGAACACCCTGTATATTATTTCATATATACATTGAGCATGAAGTGGGCTTTCCAAAAATATATAATTGTATACAATTATTTTCCATTTGAAAAAACGTATGTTTGCTCCATAACTAAAAAACAAAAGGTGCTAGCAAAAAAATAACTACGCCACTGGATTCTACGAGAAAAACTCTATAAAAACAAGTTTTAACTTCTTCGATAAGTTCAAAGAAAACTGAGACACGGGGGTGATATTTTTCAATTCCACCCTGTATCTAGACAACCGTAAGAGCTACCACAATTCTGCTTGCGCCATTATTAATTTCATAAAAAAGTAGCACACTGTCGCGAAAACCGCAATGCTCTATCTTTACTGATAAGGGAGATACCCCGCAAAAGTGCCCAAATTGGGATACCCTGTACAACTTTTAGATTGGGTTTGGTATGAGAATAATTCTATCCACCCAATGACTTCACAGCCTCAATAGGTTCAGCTAGCGTTGAGAAAGAAAACAAGTATCTTCCCTAGAGTGACTTTATAAATAGAGTGACGATAATAGACATCCAAATGGCTGCCATTTCTGCAATGTAAAGTCACTGAATAGCTAAAAATCGGAAGGGTATCTTCCAAGCATTAATGAATTTGGGCCTTCGAAGTGCCCCGGTGATGTTGGGTTTAGATATTGGATATTTTTATTTCATCATCTAAATAACCTGAGACTTACGAGTCCCAAAAGACACAATTGTCGTCACTCTATTTATAAATAAGTCACTCGAGTCTTCCTTCCCCATATGTCCTTGTCTTCAGTGTTCCAACATGAAAAAAATGGAGATTCTATGTTGGCATCACTAGACGAAGACCATTCGAACCTGTTCTATATTGAGGTTGATATAATCTTCTAAATTTTTCCCATTTTCAATGTTACAAACATAACATTCTCATTATTTCACGTTGGAACACTGAATACAAGGACAGATGGTGAAGACATTTTTTTCTCTAGCTAGCTGAACTACTCTTATGAAAAGTCTTGCACTCGTTTTAGATTACTCTGTGAAAATACCGAGCACAAATGCAAGAAACGATGCTCCGAGATATGCGGACCTTGCAACTATCCCGTGGAACGAATCCTCGACTGCGGTCACACTGTATCCATCCACTGCTACATCGATCCTGCCGTGTACAAATGCACTGCTCTGGTCGAAGCTAAACTGCCTTGCGATCACGTAAACCAGAAACGCTGCCATAAAGACGCAGAAACTGTCCGCTGTTCGCATCCGTGCGATACCAGAGTCGAGCCTTGTGGACACGCCTGCATGAAGGCTTGTCACATTGGAGACGATCCTGATCACCTGAAGGTACTTTTTTGATCATCACTTATTTTATTTTCAATCAGTGAAAATTTGAATGCACTTTTATAAACCATTTTACGCTGAGCACTGCTTTTGACAAATTGGATATCATCAATCACTTTTTTTTCTTTATGTCACGTTCAGGGCTGTCATGTCAAAAAAATGTCAGTTCAAATTCGAAATTTCGAACTTTTCATAAAATTTTGACAAAGAAAGATCAGCAAAACCCAGATAAAAATGTGTGGTCAACGGATGAGCAAAATACTTCTGAAATAAACAAAACATCATTTCATGAGTTTCCAAGAAACGTTCACGGAAGGAGGGAATGGATAAAAAATATTGGGGAATCGGCAGTATTCATTCTGGTCTAGGAGACCCTAGACGGTTGAAAACTGAAGAGTCCAGCAGATTATTCACCTGGAAAACAAAATCTGTAATCTCGAGATTCTCCTCAGCCAGGTATTTATACTATTGCTTTATTTTTTGTTATCTGCATACCAAGTGAATATCAAATAAATAAAACACTCTCTGGTACACATCGCCGGTCTGCATAAACACTTCCGCTCCAACATGAATACCTACACGTTATTTGTATTTCATTGCCTCGCTAGTATCATAGCTTTCATAATTTATCACAGGTCTAACATAATCGCGGCTTTATTCCACTTCAATACTACTTTAGCATCAGATAGTGCTATCTGTCAACATAGTAGATGAATTAATCCATTCAGCTACTAGCCGCCGATGCATATCAAGATTTTTTCGCCAAAAACTTGTATTCTTTGTAACACTTTGGTAAGCAAATGAGTATTAATCTATTCTGTTCTGCATGTAGGTTAGTCATGCAGATTACAATAAAAGAAACTTCAAATCAGTATGGAATACACCATTTTATTGCAACAAAAAATAGACCATTTTACGCGGAATGTGGTCCAAGCTAGAACTAATTCAGGATATCAAATTAAAGGAATGTTCCGCTTCCAAAGTGATTGTGGTTTGCCGTACCGTATATAGTGGTCATTTCATTGACCAGTTGAATGTCACCAGAGGAATCAATCGAAAATCATCATTATCTCGGTAAGTGTGACGGTGTGAAGTTTGGAGTGGTACGGGGTGCTTGGGAATCTTGGAATGGGGAAAAATATGGATGTACGCATAAAATAAGAAAATGATAATTCTGATGAAAAATCTCCCATCCTCACAAAAATTATGAAGTCTCAAGTGTGAAAAAGTTCTTTGGCAAGTGATACACACTTGCGTTCCGTATACATATAAACCGAATCATTGAGGTATACCTATCAACCACTGATTACCACTCTGCTATTTTTGGTAAACCATTCGGTTAACCAACTTTGGAAATGGAGCATACCCTAAATATTTTTTCATTAGCAACACTGACAAAATGTCATGCACAAAATGAAATGCCATTCTTACAGTACAAAATTAAATTTGATATCTTCTTTCTTCCTCCTAGCTAGGATTGAGGATTGCACACACGCATATGGCACATATAAGACGACGAGAATGCGTTTTTTGAAGAGAAAATTAGATAGGTACCGAGACGGTAATCTTTACCGGGTTTTTGCGTCGCAAAAAACTTCTTCCTCGAGTTTCGTTTAGTACTGCTTAAAAAATATATCGACTTCGCGCTCCACCTGCGCATTTTTGTGGTACTATCCAGTACTATCTGTGAACCTTAGGTGGTTCCGAGCACCGGCGTATCACCTCTTGCATTGCATAGATATCGCGGGGTAAAATATATTGACAGTTAATGAGTATGTGATAAAATTGGTTTATAATTCAAAAGTACATGATTCCTGAACATCTGGTTTTGATTACAAGTACTTTCATCGAGATAAAAACCATCGATCGATTTCAAATATCAGGTTGCTACTGGACGAAATGTAAGTGAGAATATTAATAATTTTCTCATGATGTTCCAACAGCGCATTTCCTTCTAAAATGAAATGCTTCGTGGACAGAAAATTTAAAAAATTGTGAAAAGGGAATTTTTGAGACGAAAACATGGATCCTTCCGATGCTATACAGAAGGATATAGGATGTGTAAAAAGAAAGAAGTAAAGAAGATTCTCATATTCTATGAGACACAACCTGAGTCATGAGAAAAATCAAATAAAGTGTGTCAGTGTTTCTGGACCATATATGAGAAATAAACAATGCTTGGTGATCTTGAATAATAATGTTCTATTCCAAAATACATTGAAATGGAGATTTCTGTATAGAGGTTGTTCAATACACCTTCACTGAATTCACATTCTCGCGAGGTACCATCCACACCATCAGATTCGGAAACATGGCATTTAATACTATTAGTTATACATTGTCCTTTGCAATTTGATTGTTTGAAAACGGGATAATTAGTATGTGATAACAAAAAATAAAGCAATAGTATAAATACCCGAGGAGAATCTCGAGATTACAGGATGCAATGTATGAAAAATTGGTATCGAGCCGTCATCGACTTGACTGGCAAATTTTCCACTCGCTCACGAATTTTGCTTGTAATCTTGTAAAACAAGTGCCACTTCCATTTTCAATCCTGATGATGTAATACTAACAATCACTTATTATATTTCACAGTATAAATGCAAGAAATCATGTGAGAAACCAATGAAAGGATGCACAATGACAGGAGTTGAAGGTCACCTCTGTCGTAAACTCTGTTTTGAAGAATGTTATTTTTGTGAGATAGGCATTCTGAAGAAGAGGTCCAAATGCAGCCATGCCTTCGAGGTTCCATGCCATGTAAACGTTGATGATATTCCGTGTGCGAAGCCCTGTCAGAGAGAATTGCCATGTGGTCATAAGTGCAAAAGAAAATGTGATGAACCATGTGGGAATTGTATGGAAAAAGTTTCCAAAGAAGTTCCTGATTGTAAACACAACATTGAAATAGCTTGCTTCCAAGAACCCGATCGCAAATACTGCGAAAAGAAATGCCAACGCTTATTGAGTTGTGGTCACCCATGTAGATATACTTGTAAGGAAGTATGCACCAAAGATTGTAAAGTGACCGTAGATTGTTCGATTACTAGCCCTTGTGGGCACATTATCACGAAAATCGTCTGTTATCGGAAAGATACAGGTAAATATAAAGATTATTTCAAATAATTACGTTCCAGAGAAATTAGATTTGCTACCGATTATATTCAATATTGTAGTTTCTAATCATCATACAGTGTCCCAAATATGCGTGCAATAATTTTAGTGGGTAGGTATTTTGGTGGGTGATGTATTAGATCTAGATGTAAATATTCTGATTTCTTTTGGTTTTATTCATTCATTGATATTTCAGATCTTGGTTGTTCGTTATCACCTACCAAACGGACCGCGATAGATTTATATTTGTTATATACGGACCCGCAGTGAAGAAACTAATTGGTGATCCCTGTATTAGACTATTACAAAATATGTTTCAGTCTCAGTACATTTCTCGTTCTCCAACATTACATTCAATACAACTTTCATGGGTCAATTCTTCGGTCAATTCTTCGGATTTCATGTTATAAGATATTTCGAATGTCGTTCCGAAGTTCTTTTAGTTCTTCTTCCAGAAACCATACAGATTTATACTAATTCAAAGCTACGTTTTATACAGATAGATCGACTATGACAAGAATACCAATGTGTTTCCACATGGGCACTGCTGCCCGAGTTCAGTGTCGTTTATTGACACTATGTTATTTTCATGCTTGGGAGATAGTGCTGTCTAGAGTCTCCTCGGTGGCTCGGACATGTCCGAGAATCCGGGGAGGTTCCCGACTATTATCAGGCTCCCTAAACACATCGGTTGATGCATATATCAGCCCGTGTTTTTTGTGGATGTTATGGTGTTGTCTTAGTGTTGGGATATTCCGGGTAAGGTCACTTCCAGTGGTGTGGTATTTGTAAAATCGCTATTTTCAGAATGTATTCATTTATTCTCGGCAAATTACCACATCTCTCGTGGAGATCTGCCACTCGAGAGTATCTATCACCGTTGGTGATAATACGGAGTACTTTGTTCTGCAGCACCTGTAACCTATTCATATGAGTAGGTGAGATGCTGCAGAATACTGGACACGCATATGTCATCACAGGTCTGATGATCTGCTTGTACACCAGGACCTTGTTCTCCTGTGAGAGAGGGGAGGTCCTGGATAAAAAGGGATACATCTTTTTGATTGCCGACTGCGTTTTTTGTATCAAGTAATTGGTGTTTTTCCTGAGACTCATACGGGTGTCCAATTTGACTCCCAGGTATTTCATGGTGGTCGTGTCCGCCACCTCAACCCCTTTGACGGTCAGAGGTCTGCTCAGTCTGGAGTTGTTGACTTTTTTATGGAAGTTGATGACTTCTGTCTTCGCACTGTTTATGCAGATCTTTGACTCGTCAAAGTACGGTCCCCTGTCCAGATGGATCTGGATCTGTGCCCTGGCGATATTCGAGTCGTCCGACAGAGCCGTGTCGGGCACAAGAGTCTCGAGATCATACCCGTGTGTTCACCGAACACGCCCGATCGTTCCCTAAGCGGTGGGGAAACGTAAACGGGCAGCAGTAACTACGTTATGAATATTGACGCGTGCCTGAATTATTTTGGAGTCAAATTTGTCAATTTAATGTACTTCGAAACGGAACACTATGTAGTAGTTGTGCCTTCTTGTTTTACATATATTATAGGTAGACATCAAATCAATAAACATAGTGCTCTCGCCATCGGTATTTGCTGAACTTCGCTATGGGAAAAATGTTGGGATGAAGAATGATCTATACAGGGTGTATCTAAATAACACCGAAATAATTCAACGGATTATTCCTTGTGATATAATATGATGAATAAACGTCATATAAACATGTGTCCTAAACTTGCTTCGTTTTCGAGGTACAGGGTTACGTCCTGATTTCGAATCCGAAGTGATTTTCAACCTATCTTGCCTCCTAATATCATATTCCGGAAATGTTGGTGGGCCCATGACCCGAGCAGTGTATTTCACTGAAGATTACCTCACTTTGGTCATAGTTGGTATATACAGGGTGATTCAAAAGTAAGCGGCATCCTTTCAGAGGCGTATTCCTTGCTTGAAAATAAGGCAAAAAGTTCCTATTGATAAGGATCCGAAAATGCTTCCTAAGGGAGCTACGGCCCTTTGAATAGGACACCTCAAAGACGGTTTTTTCTCTATAACTTTAAAATCCTTCACAACAAATTTTTAAAAATTGGTGTACGGCATAAACATTCGATGGTAAATAGGACTCCGTATTCGAAATTTCAGAATTTCATTCAGGGGCGTCACATGCGGGAGAGGGTAAGTGTAAAAATATCCCTTCTTCTCCGGATATTCAGGTTACTGTGATTTCGTTTGGAAATTATTTCGAATACGGAGTCCTATTTACCATCGAATGTTTATGCCGTACACCAATTTTTAAAAATTTGTTGTGAAGGATTTTAAAGTTATAGAGAAAAAACCGTCTTTGAGGTGTCCTATTCAAAGGGCCGTAGCTCCCTTAGGAAGCATTTTCGGATCCTTATCAATAGGAACTTTTTGCCTTATTTTCATGCAAGGAATACGCCTCTGAAAGGATGCCGCTTACTTTTGAATCACCCTGTATATATCTATCGCTCCTGAAAATTGAACAGTTACGTTAGATATACGGGTTGATTCCATTAGAAGTGACATATGCACACTGTTTATATTTTCAAATACATCCAGTGGGATTGAATTTCATTTTATGTTGAATATTATATATAGTGTGTTTTTTTATGTGATATATTTGTTTTGTTTAGTTCAAATATACAGGGTGATCCACGGTGGATGGCCTATTAGAAGTATCTGGAGAACGAAAAGACAACACATTCTGAAAATTGGGATGCATTGATAATTGATCATTCTCTATCCGTCTAAAATATATTCATCGATACAGTGTTGCCACTTCTATCGGAAACAGCTAGAAACTTTGTTATTTCAAATAAAACACCCTGTATTTTTTTTCGTTTCTAGATTCTTCGTGAAGAGCTGATTTCATCAATGTATCACACTTGGGGTCTAGCAGGAATTATTACAGAGATATAAGGTGTTCAAAATCGAGATTTTTCAATTTCAGGAATTTTTTGTGTCGAAACTATTCATTATCGATCAAAACGGCTTACATGTCCCTATCTTAACTTTTGATTCACTATCTACTGACATTTAATTGGAACAGATACAGGGTGATCAAAATTCTGAATCTTGGACCACCCTGTATTTTTTCCAATTAAATTCCAGTAGATAGTGAATCAAAAGTTAAGATGGGGACATGTGTGCCGTTTTGATCGATAATTGATAGTTTCGACACAAAAAAATCCTAAAATAATCATTCCTGCTAGACCCCAAGTGTGATGCATTGATGAAATCAGCTCTTCAGGAAGAATCTAAAAATGCAATAAAATACAGGGTGTTCCATTTGAAATAACAAAGTTGCTAGTTGTTTCTGATAGAAGTGGCAACACTGTATCGATGAAAATATTTAAGGCGGATAGAGAATGTTCAATTATCAAAGGATCCCAATTTTCACAATGTTCTGTCTCTTCGTTCTCCAGGTACTTCTAATAGGCCATCCACCGTGGATCACCCTGTATATATTTTTTTAGTAGGCATACTCGTACTACTTTTATATAATTCTGAAATCTGATCCACCCTGTATTTGTTTCAATTAAATGGCATCAGTAGATAGTAAATAGAATGTTAGGAGAGGGACACATGTAAGCCTTTTTGACAAATCAATATAGGTATTGTATAGTTTATATACAAAAAAAATCTCGATTTTTCACATTCTACGTATAGGTATACCTTGAGCTTGATCAACGAAGTCATAGCTCAATTAGAAGAATCGAAAAATGTAAAATATAAGGTGTTCCATTTTGAATAACAAAGCTGCTACTACTACTACTAACTACTAATAATAATTTCTAGTGAAGCAGATGAACATTATCGAAAATAATTTGAATAAAACGAGCGTCCTCGCCAACAAAACCTAAGCATATAATATGTACATATTGTTTCATGATATTCGATGAGTGGTTCGCTATTTCATTTAGGACTCGTCGTGACATAGCGAATTATTGCAAATCAAATCATCGCTTTCATTATCTGATAGGTCGCAGTAGATCACTTGATGCCTATCAAATGTTTCTTATTTATTCGAAAAAAAAAAAAATAAAGCTGAAATGTGATCAAGAAAACTGTTGGTGGCCCACCCCGTACTGCAAAAACAGAGACAGCATGAGAGAAGCTGCCTGCCCACTTTGTATCATAGCTGCCTGCTTACGTCTCGGTCTCCCCACCGCTTAGGTAACGATCGGGCCTGTTCGGTGAACACACGGGTATGATCTCGAGACTCTTGTGTGTCGGGCGATGCCTGTTCAAGCATGTCAAGTGTTCTATAACCTCAAATTATAAAAACATAAACAAACAATGGAAGTTGATGAAGATTCCTTCGATTTACTCATTTCTCAACCGGGGGTGGTGCAAGAATTATTCAATAATATCGACCTAGATGAGTCCACTACTGTGATTCACATACCAGTGTCAGTAGTTAGTGAGTGTGCTCGTGCTGATACAGGCGGGAAATCAGAATCGTACGAGTACTCATTGACTGCAAGTGAACGTAGAGAATCTCCCTTGGGTTACACAACTCTAAAAAATGTAGTTGTTGATAGTGAATATGTATCGACCGATGCAGACGAACAATTGAGAATATACTAGACTAGAATAGAATAGAATATATAGACTTTCATGAACTTGATTCGAAATACGTTAAAGGGGTAATCGAAAAAGACCCTCAAATCCCGAATTTTCCATGGATTTGAGCGACTACCATGCCTACAAAAGTAGTTTGCCTACCAGTTAAAAAATATATAAAGAGCGATTTATGCCAAACGGATGTGGATGAAGAAGTGTACAAACGATTTTACATGCAGCTGGGGTTAAATTTGGACGACGTTGGGTCTGGAATCGACACATATCATGAAATGCCACTTTCTGTGATGAGGAAAAAAATGAGAAGAAGAAAAAGAATTCAGATTATTCTGTTACTAGTTTCAGTTGATACACAATTCTTGTATTCTT